CGAGCGTCGGCGGCGGCGGCGGCGGTGCTGGTCGACGGAGTCCGGCCGGGCTCCGATGGGTCCGCCGAGCGAAGCGGCCAGGCTCAACGCGGCGAGGTGGGAGGCCATCAGAGAGTAGGCGCCGGTACCGGTGGGCAGGCGGCGGTGGTCAGGACCGTGTGTCCTTGCCACGGTGGGGGTCGGCGCTGCGCGATGATGCGCTGGGTGCGGCCGCAAGCAGACGCCGAGAATAGAAAAGCGTGCCCACACCAGGAGCGAGCCCAGTCGCCTGCCAAGAAGAGGAGACCGAGGCGAGGCGAGGCGAGGCCAAGCATGCCGTTGCGTGCTCCGTACCGCACCTGTGCCGTGCCGTGCCGCGCCGCGCCGTATCCGCCCTTCCACCCGGCGGCGCGCTTCCCCACACGCACGGCGCACGCCGGACCTCTCCGCACCAGTGGGACGAGGACGTGTGAGGTCGAGCGGGGGAAGGAAGGAAGGGGGTGTAGGTAGAATGTCCTGTCCTCCATCTCCTGGCTGGTGAAAACAGAGACCCAGGATGCAGAGGCGGGGATGCCAAGCAAAGAACGGAGAGGCCTAACCACGCGACGCTCCCAGACTACGGTACGTACCGGTGCTGATGGTGGTGGAACGGGATATATCACGAGCTGGCGTTCGGTAGCGCACGATATGGAAGTCTAGCTTTTCTTGGCGACCGCCATTCTCGAGCTGCGAGATAAGAAAGACGTGCGGGACAGTGTGAGGGATGAAGCGGGGGGCGGCAAAGGGGTCGGTAGGGAGGTTTAGTACGCTTCTTGGCGTCCTACGCCCTCTCGGGGGGGCGTACGTGGCACTTTTCATTCTTGCAAGGAAAGTGACATCGGGTAGACCTCATATTGGGCGTTGGGCATGCTGGCCTGGCAAGACCAACGTGCGGACGGTGGCGATGATGGCATCCACCCGCGCTCCGCCTCCTCATTGCAAGCATGCCATACATGCACTCCTGCTGGTGTGGCGCGAACGTGGCAGAGGAGGGACTTGGCTTGGCTTGGCGTGCCCCGATACTGCAACCGCCCCGGGACGCACAATCGGAAAGCGCTCGACTCGCAATCGCTCGCTCGCATCGAGATCGGGTGAGAAATGGTCGAGCTTCGGCTCCGACGCCATCGCCGGAACCTCTGCCAGAGATTTTCTCGATTCGAGCTTCTCGACTTGCCCCAAACCCATGCATATGGCTGGCTGGGTGAGGCCGTTCCGTATCGATCTTGCGGCCCGCTCTCGCTCTGTCTCTGTCCGCGTGGCATTACGGCAAGGTCGACGGACGGCAGGAGAGATCCGACTACCTCCGTCGGTCGTCGTCGACCAACGAATGCCGTCGATCTCAGCTGGGTCCTGGAAAGAGGGAGCTGGGGTTCCGGCATGCTTGCATACCGCACCACACGACGGCAGAGCGGTCTGCGTCCTCTTTGACCAGGAAGGGGCCGCTGCGCCGTCTCCCTGACTACCGCCTGCCTACCTCAGCTCAGACGGAGGCCAGCGCGAACCTTTGCTTCGGCCCGGTCTGGCATACGGCGTTGGTCACGTATCCATGCCATCCTGTTGGCGCCCTGTCGGCGGAAGAGATCGAGCTGCGGCTGCAGTCGTCGCCTTTCCTCTTCGTGTCGAAAAGCGACGAGCAAGACCGGATCCGGCATCACCTCGACCGCTGCCGCAGACGGCAGATGGGTCGATCTTGTTGCGCCTCGATACCGATTGCTCGAGAGACGAGTTAGTGGGCCTGGCAAGCGGTCAGGCTTGCGTGACCGGACCAACTCAGCCCACGGTGATTCGTCTCTGGTGAATCGACCGACCCGGGCGCGCGGCCACGGCGCCGTACGTTCGAGCACCTACGTACCGCGTATGTAGCAGCTCTATGGCGAGACGGGGCCGGCCTTGTCTCAAACCTCTTCGTCCCGGCCACGAGGGCTACCGCAGTGGACAGACGTCGTTCGGATCCGTCGTCGACAATTGTGGCGAGAGACTGGTCACCGCTGATCGCCGACCCAACGACCGGCCGGCAAAATCGAGGTGAGCCCGCCCGCAACCTCGTGGCGCCAAACCCCCCCCTCCCCTTTCTGAGCGAGCGTGCCCAGCCTGATCAGCCAGGTGCTCGCTCGCTCGCGTGCTCGTGGCTCTTTTTTTGTCTCGCTTCCTCGCCTGCCCGTCTTGGATCGGAGGATTTGCCGTCTGCTTCAGCCGGCCGTGCGCTGGAAGCCCTACCTGTAGCCCGGTTGGTCCCAGAGCTTTCGACTGTCCCCGGCCGACCGGCGTGCCTGCCGAAACCGTCCAGCGACCATACATGCGTCCTCGCTCAGGATCAAGCAAGACAGGCTAGGAAAACCCAAGCGGGAAAAGCCGACGAAATTCGACGAGGCCGGTCGTCTGTCGCAGCTCTCGCACACCCAGACCACCCCGCTGCCGCCGCCGCTGCCGTCGTCGTTGTCGCCGCCGACACCCACCGAGCGTCCCTCGCGCCTAACCCTTGACCCACCTACATGCATGGCAGAGGACGAGCAAGCTGGGAGCGGTCAGCCAGCCACAGGTTTCGCCTGGCCAGGCCTGGCCATGTTCGCGTTGCCAGCGCCGTCGTCATCGTCGTTCGTTGTCGTCGCCCTTCCGCCCCGCCGCCTGCACCCTTCCCATCGGGAACCAGCATCCATCCATCCTGTAACCAGGGCGGACCAGGGCAGACTGGGCACGCCACCTCGCTGAACCCCTTTTGGCGGCGGCCAAACCGACATCGGCCCGCTGACAATTCGACCTGCTGGCCGTCGCTGCCCGCTCGCTCGCTTGCTTGCGTCCAACATCTCGACGGCCCCGAAGGTCGACCTTAGCTTGCCCGTCTTCTTCAGGCCACCGCCCCTCTCCTGTGGCCTGCCGGAAGCGCCGTACCGCCCCTAGCCCTCTGTGTCTACCAATCACCGGCGCATGGCTGCCATGCCGGAACAAAGGAGCCTATCGCCGGTCTAGTGGTTCGGTGTAGCACGCGATGCCGTCCGCCCATCGCGCACCAGCTGCCCCGTACGCCTGGATACAGTACCTGTACGGCACCTTGTGTAGGTGCCCATGGGCCTCTCGACTGCCGGGAGTCGGACCATCGATGGACGGCATCGCCGCAGGCATAGCCAAAAATACTGTCTCAAGGATCACGACGAGGGGAGCGGCAGAAGGCGCGGCTGACAGCCTGGCCTAGGCTTGGCAGTCTCGCGCCGTGCGGCAGGCCAGTGGGGCCATCGGCCAGCGGCGGGCGACGGAGACGACGGGTCCACCCATGTTTGCGGTCTCGCCGTCGTGGCCAGCCAGCCACACATCGATCTTCCATCTGTCCCGTCAGGTGGGGTTCGCATCTCGCGCTCAAATCTCTCCACGCCGCCCGCCCGCCAGCCAGGCCAGGACTCGGTCCGCGGGGCCACGCCAAGGGATGGCTGCGGTGCGGTCCTAGCTCGGCCCCGCGTTTTGCCAAGAAGAACCCGGCTTCTCAGGTGGCGCGAGCCCTTCCTCAAGACTCTCGTTCGTGGCTCGCAACGGCGGCGGGCGGAACGATCCGAGCGAGCGGGATGCCATTCTTCGGGAACGGGAGGGCTGGTCTTGGCCTTCTGCCCTCTGCCCTGTGCCCTCAGCCCTGTATGGCCTACCATGCACCGTGCTGCCGGGCAACGTGGCGCCGCTGTCGCTACGATGCCGCACGCATCCTTTCGCCTTGGCCCCGCAAGAGGGAGGCAAGGAAGCAAGCAAGCATGCAAGCAGGATCCTTGATCAGGCTGACTAGGGCTGAAGTGGCCAGACCACGGAGAAGAGCGGTGGCGGCGCGGACCCGTCTCGGTGAGGAGCGGGACGACAGGGGGCAGACCAGGCACTCCTCGAGCCTCGGTACCGCAGCGAGCCAACCCAGACCAGACCAGACCAGACCAGGCCAGGCCCAGCCATGCCTGACGGGGTCTTGGCGGGGCGCAGAATACAGACATGCTGTGGTTCGGGTACGCCTGATATCAATCATGATCGCGAGCAAGGCGGGGCCCCGTTTCCTCCGGCTGGCGTCTTGGCGCCTCCTTGGTCTGGCCTGGGCCTCGCGTTGCTTGGCGCCCCATCCTTGCCAGAGGCAGGCTAGGCGGCGTCGGGAGTAGCGGCGACGCCGACGATATGATGACGGCAGCGATACCGTATCTCGACGTGCGGACGGCCCGTCAGTCACGGTGGTCTCCGTACCGTAGGCAGGCGCTTGATTGAGCCTTGGCATCGCAGGACCGTCTACATATCCAAGTTCTGCTCGACCCCGCGCCCCATCCCCACGATTCCACGACGGCTCGACAGCGTGAGCTCGAGGTTGCTTGATACGTCCGCTCGAGTGCCGTTCTTCTCGTCGAGATGGCGTCGCCGTTGCCATGTTCGACCCCGAGCTCGGCGTAGCCCTCATTCCTGCCAAGTCACGACGACGGCGGCGGCCACGGAGTCTCTGTCTGCTTTCGTAGACTTCATATCTCGCTTTCGACGACATGGTCCGAGCATCGCTAGACGAGGCCTTGGCAAGGCCAAGCCAACGATGACAAGGTCGGTCGGCAATCGATCCCAGCCCATCCCAGCCCATCCCAGCCCATCCCAGCCCATCCCAGCACATCGCAGGCCTGGGCTGGTCCCCAGTTCTTGATTCGTATCGTATCCTCGAGAAGGGCGCTTGCCGCGCCAGACCGGCAGGGTTCCGAGCAGTCCGGGGCACCGCACCCTTTGGGACCCTCTCCCTCCTGCCTCCTCCTTCGCCCCGAGGCGACAGCGGGCGCTCAGCAACGTCAAGCCGTGTACAGCGTGTCGGGCTTCGGCTGAACTTGCTTTGGACGGCCGCGAGGCACGCCCCTCAGACGAACGGTAAGGCACGGCGCGCCGCGACAACGGCAACGTCGTCGTCGACAACGACAACGAGCCTCGCCTGGCCATCGCAAACGCAGCAAGGCGTTCGTTGCCATGCTTGACTCCGCCCGCTTTCCCTGAGGAACAGCGGGGTGGGGCGGTCGAGATCGAATCGGGTCCAACTCAAACCCCTGTCAACCTGCCCCTGCCTCTTCTTTGGGGCAAGCAGGGAAGCCCAGAAGCCAGGCAGGTGAAGGACGTGAGGCGAGGTTTCGTCGGCGCACCTTCGGGCCCCAGCGCGACCAGGTGAGGTAGGTATCCGGGTGTTCCCTGTTTACCTGCTGCCGTTATCGCATCGGCATCGGATCTGGCAGTTTGCTTCCCAAAACCACCTCGCCCCGATCGAACAAGGACGGGCATCTCGTCGAGAAGCGAGGCGAGCGCGGGGGTACCGGTAGCAAGAGGCCGATACGGGCGGTCCGCCATCCCATGGTGTTGACGAGGCCAGCGACGATGGTGGCGGGCCTTGTCAGGTAGCTCGAGCATGCAGCCGTAGCGCGAGCCCCTATCGACGACGCCCGCCGCGGCGGCCTCGCGGACAGAGGCAGCTACAGTAGCCCTCTCGCAGGAAGCATGACACCGACCAGCGCCCGTCTCGTCCTTTTTGTCGTATGTGCTTGAACGTCGACACCGCCGCCGCGGCCGCCGGCTGCTGCTGCTGCTGCCCGCATGCTCTAGCTTCCAGCGTGACCAGCTGTAGCCTGCCCGATGATGATTCTCGACTGACCAGGTGGACTGAGCGTGCGCCAGCGCAGCCGCCGCCGCATGCTAGAGCGTGGTTCGCTCGGCCCAAGGAACGGGCCGAGGGCCTTCCAGCGGTCGAGGCGGTCGCCGTCGCGAGCGCGATCCCTCACCTCACGGTGTGAGCCAGCTAAGGCACCTCGAGCCGGGTCCTCGGCCATCGTGATGTTCGGAAGGTGGGCGATACCCCTGCTGTACGTTGCGCATACGTGCTTTGTCTTCGAGATATGACGACCATCGGCCGCCAACGACGCGTACGTGCTGGCACTGCGCTGCTGGGACGAAGAACGCCGACCGGCGGCGACACCACCGCCAACAGGCCAGGGCAGCCGGCAGCAGCCTGCACCAGCCGCAGCCGCAGCAGCAGCAGCAGCAGCTCGCAGCGCTTCGGCCGGCCCAATGCGGGAGGACGGCGACGAAGACGACGCAGACGGCCAAAGTCGACGGTACCGTACGTCTCACTGCCCAGGTCACTGTACGTACGACAAGGTCGAGGCGGCGCTGGGTCGCTGGCTGGCGGTTGGACCAATCGCGCACGATGCGCCTTGCTTGCCTTGCTTGCCTTGCTTGCCTTGCTCGCCTTGCTCGCGCGTTGCCTGGCCGTCCCAGACCTGTCTGCCAGCCTACAGCGGCGGGGCTCGGACGCAGACGGACAGGAGGAGGCCACCGGACGCTGCAAGAGATGCCGCCGCCGTCGTTCCTCTGCATCGCGCTGCTGCATCTTCCGCCGCTCCCCGAGGCAGCCCTGCCCGCTTCCAGCTTCCAACCTGCTGTAGTTAGGCAGCGCTTGCTTGCCGTGCGTGCTCCCTGCCTGCCTGCCTGCCTGCCTGCCTGCCTGCCTGCCTGCCTGCCTGCCGCCACCAGCTCTTGCAGCGAGGAGCATACAGCAGCACCATCGACGCGACCTGGCGAGTTCGATCGCTCGATCTGGCCGTCCCTCGCCTCCCTTGTCTCATCATATCGCTCGCGGTCTTTTTGTCGGTCGTTCCGCCAGATGTCTGCCGGCAGGCGGGGACCGGGCACCGTACTGTACATAGATTCAGCACCCGTCGTTTCTAGGTACCGCGGGCCGTTGGCACAGGTGAAGAGCCAAGCATGGGCGGACGAGGGGGCGAACAAGCTGCTTGTACCGAAGAAACAGCATCGAAGTTGCGTGCTGCGGCAGCGACGGAGGGGCTCCCTGCTTTGCCAGCTTGCCTGCTTGCTTGCCCGGCTGGCCTTGACACGGGCGGCCGTCGGTCGAGGGCGCCGAAGTTTCCCGCCCCTGCCCAGCCTGTCTAGCCCCACCCAACCTAACCTGCCTCGATCAGACGGCAAACTTGGCCGCGTCGTTCAATCCCAATTTTGAATTCAACAGCTCGGGGATCTGCACGGCTGCATCCGCACGATACAAATTGGCCGCCTCCCTCGAATTGAACCAACCTCGAGGCAGCCAGCCAAGGCCGGGAGGCTAGGCAGGGTTCGACCGAGCGGTGACCACCGACGGGCCCCTAGCCTGGCCTGCCTGGCCCTAACCTAGGTTGGCGGCGCCGCGGTCCAACCCTCGGTTCAAATTCAAGTCAATTTCCGATCCCAAGCCTGCCCGCCGTCGATTTGAAAATTTAGCGCCAGCCTTGGCGGGGCGGGCCCTGTTATTACAATTTGTATTCCAGTGGCCCAGAGATAAGCAGGCAGGATGGCGGCGGCGGCGGCGTCGTTGAATTCGGCCACGAGCTTGCCTTGCGTTGTTTCGGCTGCCGGCCCGTCCGCGCAATTCCAGAGGCAAGGCGCCGCTGACGGCCAGAGAGGGGGTCTAGCTTAGCCCCGGTCTTGGCTTTCCTCGCCCTCGCCTGCTGGCTCGTCGAGCGCGGCGCCGGCCAAGCCCACCCAGGTTTTCCAGGTTCAGTCCTCGCGCGAGGCGGCGCCGGGACTGCCTTATCCCAGCCTATGGCGCTCGCCCTCCTCCCCAGGCTGCCCTCTTGGCCCAGGGCCCGGGCCAGGGCCAAAGGGAGGCAGGGCCAGGCCTGGCGAGCGACATCGGAGGTTTCGGTCGGGCGGCTGTCAATCCGCCCAGGCCCCCTCGCCAGCGGCGAGCCCCCCTGCCTCGAGAGAAGGTGCGAGCCCAACGCAAACCTGCCAGCTTCTGCACAAGGGGAGAGGGGCAGCGTGGCCGGCCAGGCCAGCCGCAAACCCCCCTGTCGCTCTTCTCCCTGCCTGCCGCCCTCGCTCGACGGCTCGCCCGCCTGCCCGCCGTCGGCCTGGCCGCCCAACCTCGCCCGACGAAGGCGAGAATTTTTTTCTTCCTCGCTGCCGCCTGCCGCCTGCCGCCCTCGCCCTCGCCGTGCACCTGGTGGTTGGTGGTGTGCGTGGTGCGTGGTGTGTGGTGTTGCTCGACCTTGGCTCCCCCTCGCTGTGGGCTGGCTGGCTTGCTCGCCGCATGAGGAGAATCGACGCCCCTCGACGGCGGGAGGACGGCATCAGGCAGCGTGCATCCCGCCTGGGCGGGAGGAAGGGGCCCCCCAACCCAACCCTAGCCCTGGCCTGGCCTAGCCTGGCCCTGGCCGCTGGTGTTTTGGCCGGTCCAGCGCTATTTTGCGCTCTCGTGCTCGCTCGGTCCCCTGCCTGCCTGCCTGCCTGACTGCCTAGGGCTCGGGGGGCCCGAAGACGACGGGGGGCACCTCGCTGGCCCCAGCCTCCAGCCTGCTGCTCGTCGGCGCTCGCTCCGCCCCCTCTCCAGCCCCTGATCGTCGCTGGATCTTCCGGCGACCGAATAAAACGGCCCTCGACCATCCTCCCTCCCCTCGACCGCACCCACCCCCTCTTCACCTTCTTCCCCTCCCTTCCCTTCCCTCCGACCCATCCTCCTCACCCCCCCTTCTCCTGGCCGCCCGTGTCTTTTGATCCTTCCTTCAGCGAGGAGCATCGAAAGACCGCTTCGTTTCTCGAGAGACTCTTTTCCGCCCCACCCCGAAGAGAGCCCCGCGAGAACCTCCCTCCTCCCGCCGCCGCCGCCGACCTCGACCTCGACGACGCCGAACAAGGTTCCTCTCTCGACACGCTCAGGCAAGTACATTCCAGCTAACAGGTGAGCATCGCACGCGCACGCGAACGACGTTGAGCACGGCGTTCCGGAGGCGGCCGCTGCCATTGCCTCGACCGAGAGTGAGGGCCTGCGCCCGACTGGCGGCCTTGCCGGATTGCCCACATGCGAGCGTGAGGCGTCCAAGCAACCTGCTTGGCTGGAATGGGAGCTCGATGACGGGCAGGTGGGGCTGACCTTCATCTCGCCCTCCGACGCCGCGCGGTCATCCTCGGGCCGGGCCGAACGAAGTTTGGCGCATCTCGATTATTGGCGCACCGTCGACTGACCCACCTGTGCTCCCCCCTTTTGCTGCCTTCATTGCGCCAATCAGCCCCTGCAACTGATCGATCGCTCCTACAACACCACTCCGGCCTCAGCCCCGACAAGCAGTGAGCATCGCCCAGTTGTCCCTTTCTTGCTCCGTTGAAATACTGGCGGCCCTCTCGGGCTTCCCACGTCGGAGCAGTTCTCTGACCGTCCTCCCTCCGCTGCTCTTGCTCGCCTCGCCACCGCCACCGCCCGCAGACCATGTCCGCCCCCGTCGAAGAAAAGGTGGCCGCCACCACCCCCGCCGCCGAGACCCCCGTGGTCGAGGAGAAGAAGGAGCGCAAGCACCGTGACATTGACGCCGAGCATGAGGCGGCTGGCCCCAAGCATGCTCTGGTCGACATGAGCACCATTGAGCTCAAGGCCGAGGACCTGTACGACAAGGCCAAGGTCGACATCGAGACGCTCGAGCTCGAGGACGTCTGGACGCTCCTCCAGTGCTCCGAGGCCGGCCTGACCGAGCCCGAGGTGCAGCGCCGCCGCGAGATCTTCGGCCCCAACAAGGTCGAGACCGAGGAGCAGAACCCCATCCTCCAGTTCCTCAGCTTCATGTGGAACCCGCTCTCGTGGGTCATGGAGGGCGCCGCCATTGTCGCCATCGGCCTCTCCAACGGCGAGGGCAAGCCCCCGGACTGGCCCGACTTTGTCGGCATCGTGCTGCTCCTGCTCGTCAACGCCACCATCGGCTTCATCGAGGAGCGCAACGCCGGCAACGCCGTCAAGGCCCTCATGGACTCGCTCGCCCCCAAGGCCAAGTGCAAGCGTGACGGACAGTGGATCGAGATTGAGTCGTCGGACCTGGTTCCCGGAGACGTCATCGCCTTCAAGATCGGCGACATCGTTCCCGGCGACTGCCGCCTCTTTGACGCCATCACCGTCTCGTGCGACCAGGCCTCGCTCACCGGCGAGTCGCTGCCCGTCAACAAGAAGGTCGGCGACCAGTGCTTCTCGGGCTCTACCTGCAAGCAGGGCGAGGCCGAGGGCGTCGTCATCTCGACTGGTCCCAACACCTTCTTCGGACGCGCCGCCACCCTGATTGGCTCCGACGACGACTCGACTGGTCACCTGCAGAAGGTCCTGGCCCGCATCGGTCTCTTCTGCATGGTCACCATCGGCCTCTTCATCGTCCTCGAGATCCTCATCCTCTACGCCGGCTTCCGCTACAACTACCGCCGCGGCATCGACAACATCCTCGTCCTCCTGATCGGCGGTATCCCCATCGCCATGCCCTGCGTCCTGTCGGTCACCATGGCCGTCGGCGCCCAGCAGCTCGCCAAGCACAAGGCCATCGTCACCCGCATCACGGCCATCGAGGAGCTCGCCGGCGTCGACATCCTCTGCTCCGACAAGACCGGCACGCTCACCACCAACAAGCTCACCATCGACACCGAGCTGGTCAAGCTCTACAGCGACTGGGCCAGCGTCGACGACGTCATCCTCTTCGGCGCCTACGCCTCGAGGACCGAGAACCAGGACGCCATCGACGCCACCATTGTCGGCACGCTCAAGGACGCCTCGGCCGCTCGCGCCGGCATCAAGCTGCTCGACTTCAAGGCCTTCAACCCCGTCGACAAGCGCACCGAGATCACCTACCTCGAGGAGGCTACCGGCAAGACGAAGCGTGTCACCAAGGGCATGACCTCGATCATCATCGACCTCTGCTCGCGCAACAAGACCTCGGCCCAGGAGGACCAGCTCGAGGCCGACGTCGAGGAGTTTGCCAACCGTGGTCTGCGTGGCCTCGCCGTCGCCTTCGAGGAGGTCCCCTCCGGTCAGGTTGACGGTCCCGGCAACGGCTTCGAGCTCCTCGGCCTGCTCGCCATCTTCGACCCCCCGCGCCACGACACCAAGGAGACGCTCGACAACGCCCAGGCGCTCGGCGTCCGCGTCAAGATGGTCACCGGCGACCAGCTCGCCATCGCCAAGGAGACTGGCCGCCGCCTCGGCCTGGGTGACCGCATGTTCAACTCCAAGATCCTCGTCGACGGCGTCCTGCCCGCCGGCTCGCCCTACAAGAGCCTCGACGAGATGATCCTCGACGTCGACGGCTTCGCCGGTGTCTTCCCCGAGCACAAGTACGAGATTGTCAAGAGGCTCCAGGGTCTCGGACACCTGACGGCCATGACCGGCGACGGCGCCAACGACGCCCCCGCCCTTGCCCGTGCCAACGTCGGCGTCGCCGTCGAGGGTGCCACCGACGCCGCCCGCGGCGCTGCCGACATTGTCCTCACCGAGCCCGGTCTGTCGACCATTGTCGAGGCCATCCGCCAGTCGCGTGTCATCTTCGGCCGCATGAAGAACTACGCCGCCTACGCCGCCGCCATCACCATCCGTGTCGTTGTCGGCTTCGCGCTGCTCGCCTTCATCTGGAAGTCGGACTTCCCGCCGTTCATGGTCCTCATCATCGCCTTCCTCAACGACGGCTCCATCATGACGCTGTCGCTCGACACGGTCAAGCCGGCGCTCGAGCCGCAGCACTGGGACCTCACCGAGCTCTTCTTCTGCGGCTCGCTCTACGGCCTGTACCAGGTGGCCTCGACGCTGTCGTTCTTCGCCGTCATCTACAACACGACGTTCTTCGAGGACAAGTTCGGCGTCGACGCCTACCACGGCAACCCCAACGACCCGCACCTGCACATGATCATCTACCTCCAGGTCGCCATCCTCGCCCAGGCCCTCATCTTCGTCACCCGCTCCCACAGCTTCTCGTGGATGGAGAGGCCGTCGTTCGCCCTCATGGGCGCCTTCTGCCTCGCCCAGCTCATCTCGTCGATCATCGCCGCCTACGGCGACTGGGGCTTCACCAACGTCAAGGCCATCTCCGGCGGCTGGATCGGCATCGTCTGGGTGTGGAACATTGTCTGGTACTTCCCGATGGACTTTGTCAAGTTTGGCGCCAAGTTCCTGCTCAAGAAGGTGCGCAGCAACAAGACGCCGGCCGCCGCCCACGCCAGCCTCAGCCGCACCACGAGCCGCGCCGAGAGCTACTACTCGAACCGCACCTCGTTCCTCAAGCGCGCCCAGCGCACCGTCGGCTTCGGCGGCAAGCAGAAGGTGCACATGTCGAGCAACGAGCTGCAGCGCCTCGGCAGCATCCAGGCCCAGGAGGCCGGCCGCCGCCTGTCGCGCACCAACTGAGCGGACGAGCGCGCGCGCACACACACGGTCCCTCCCGCTCCGCTCCGCTTCGGCTGACTGGGTCGGTCGGCTCGGTCCTGTTGCTCTCTTCTCGCTCGTCGCCCGTGGCCACGGCGCGCCGGGGGGTTGGGCTGTACCCAGTATTCCCCTCGCCTCGTAAACCCCCCCTTCCCCCGGCCATGCCACGGCGCAACGACGCGATGCGCGGGTGCCATTTTGGACGGATTCGACGAGATGAGCGAGCCGGCGCCGCCTTCGCCCACACCATCACCATCGCCACCCTGCTTTGCCCTACCCCTCGCCCCGCTTTGCTCCGCTCTATAGACTATATCCCCTCTAACTCCTCGGCTGGCACGACGACGACGGTGCAGATGTTGATGACGGCGACGGCGGCGTTGGCGGCGGCTGCGACGGCTCTGCGCCGTCGCCCGCTCCTCGTCTTGACCTCTCCTCTCTCCTCACCCTTCTCCCTCTCCGCGCTTTTCTCTCTCTCTCTCTCACTCCATACTTTCTCTTCTATACACATCTGCATCGCAACTGACCCGAACGAACGACACCCGAATCGAAAGCCAATGACGCATCCACCGCCTCGTCTGTCCTTGACCGTCGTCTCCTGTCGAGAGCCCCCTGGGGGATGGCAGGGTTGGCCTGCGACAAGGGCAAAAACTCAGCTAGATTGACAGGCTGGCAGATTGGCTGGCTGGCCGACGGGCTGGCTGGCTGTCTGGGGAGATAGAGACGCTGCGCCGATTCGCTGCCGGTGGGCGTGGCGCGCCGCCCCGTTGGCACGTTATTCGACTGACCCACCTTGGCCGCTGACGGTCGCCTGGCCAACCGGCCCACAGATGAATTAATTGATTCTTGCTCGGCCTCGTGGCTGACTTGCCACCACCAACACCACCCACCACCGTTGCTGGCAACGGCTCTGGCCTTTTGCAGCGCGCCGCCGCCCAGAACAGACCACGACAACGCTCGCCTTGCTTGTGTATGTACCTACCCCTGTCTCCGTCGCCAAGGAGCGACGACAACCACTGGGGGATGCGCACCTCTGGAAATGCGTTTCCAGAGTAGTTTCCAGTGGTCCTGGAACAGGCAACTTTTCCAGCGTTTCCACGGCCCGTGGAAAAGTGTATGTTCCAGCGATGTTCCAGCGTTCGTGCATCGGCGTGGGGAAAATGCAGGTGGGCCAAAAAACCCGGATGAAGCACCCGGATGCTTGGCACACTGGCGAGGTGCCTCGGCAAGCAGCCCACAGCTTGCTTGCCCCTTCGTCGCGCGGCTCTTGCCTCTGTACAGGTAGCAGCTCCTTGGAGCACTCAACTTGGCACTTTGGCTCGTCACACTTGCTGACACCTACTATTACGTTGGGACCTGCAATAGTTCCAGGTGTGGCAAAGCAAAAGTCTTGACTTGTGCCTTGTTTTGAGCAGGCAAAGGTGGCGAGAAAAATAGGCGCGTGCTGCACGTACGCTGGAAAAGCTCTGGAAAGGACGCCTTTTTCCAGGACCTCTGGAAAAGCTCTGGAACGCGAACCCTGTTCCACGACCATTGGAACAGCTCTGGAACAGGCAACATGTTCCAACACCCCTGGAAAATCCCTGGAACATATTTTCCAGAGGTGCGCATCCCCCAGTGAACGATCCGCCGTGCTTGCCTCCGGAGACCGACAGCGCCCGCAAACCGCCTCGCCTCGCCCCGCCTCGCCGCGCCACCTGCTTGCTGCCTGCTACGTGGCGCAGGCCCACACGTCTGTCGCACGCCCACCATCGCCACCGCCGTGGCTTTGCCTCTCCTGAGAAGATACTGTAGCGCCCTGGCACATGGCGTACCGGGCGGCTGTGACGCCCTCGCCGCAACATCCGCTCGTAGCTCGGATCGTCGTTCCCGCGGCACCCGCCCGCACGGCCATTGCCGCCACATGGGTTCGACCAGGCTAGCACAGTGGTACCGGGGCGATCGCTGTCGTCGCCGCCGTCGCTCGTGGTCCGAGCAAATCACAGATCGAAAGAAGGCTAGGATCTCGGATCGTGCAGGAAGGCTCGCCTTCCCAACGGCTGTATCCAGCGAGACGGTCACGCCTGCGCCCGGCATGCCCACCAAGGAAGAGATCATCGGTGTTCCTTGACCGACCACAGAGGCTGACGAACCAGCCCCGGACGACACCCTTCTTGCCATCTGCCGGTCAGCTTGAGCGAGCCCGGCGGCTGCTGCGACTCTGACAGCGCCCACCCACTTGCCGCCGGCGCGCGTTGCCCGAATGGGGCCACGTCCCCGGCATGCACGTCCAAAGAGAAGCGGTAATCTCCAACCTTCGAGTGTCATCGTCATCGGGTTGATCCGAGGCGACCTTTGTCCCCGAGCTGCCTCTTGCCGCGATGCTCGTTGGCACGACCCTCGTTGACCGTGCTACACCCGCCCCGTGCGGCAAGCGCCCAGCCGCACCGCCTTGACACCTGCCGCCCAGACGCTGGCAATGCGACCATCCACCCACCAGTCTTCTCCTCTGGCGCTTCTACCGGATGTACGACAGGACACTCGCTGACTTGCGAGACACTGCGGCAGCATGGTCTGGCCTCGACCATGCCCCTCGTCATCCCGCCCGTCCGTCGAGGAGAGACGGACGGCCCAGCGGGCATCGCTGCTGTATAAAGCCCACCGCTCTAGCCCTGGCAGTCCGCTCTCCTCACACATCCTCACACACATCCTCTTCTTCTCTTAATCCCCTTGACCTTCTCTCGCGCCAGGCTCCTCCCTCACGGCCTTCATCCTCGCATCTCGCAACCGCCGGTCGGTTCTCCCAGAACGCTCTAATCCTCAATCGCACACCAAGATGCGCGCCTCGCTTGTCCACCTCCTCCCCCTGATCGCCATTGCGATCTCGAGCAGCGTCGCCACGGTGCCGGCACCCGGACCGCTCTCGCCCCGCCACCTCAAGCATTCTCACCGCCACCATCGCCACGGCAAGCACGGAAAGCACGACCACAAGCTCGCCTCCCGTTCCCCCGATACGTACGACGGTGGCTACACCGGCTCCGGCTTCCCTGGTGGAGGCAGCGGTGGCGGTGGCGGCGGCGGTGGAGGCGGAGGCGGAGGCGGAGGTAGCGGCGGTGGTCTTGGCGGAGGCGTTGGTGGTGGCGTTGGTGGTGGCGTTGGTGGTGGCGTTGGTGGTGGAACTGGTGGTGGAGACGGTGGTGCAGCTGGCGGTGGAGCTGGTGGTGGAGACGGTGGTGGAGCTGGCGGTGGAGCTGGCGGTGGAGC